AAGAAGCTCCTCCATACCTGAGGCAAAAAAAAAAAAAAAGGCCATGTAATCATGTCACCACAACAGGAAATTTGCCATTGAGTTAAGATGAGGTGACTTAACTACCAGGTTCAAGGAGTCAGAGAATTAAAGAGAGGAGACTTATATGGGAACATTCAGTTTTGACAACCAGGTTCTTTGCAACCCCAGGAAAGCTATGGAAGGACATGGTCCATCCCAAAATGATTACAGGATGAGACAGGGAGCTCAGAAACAATTGCACCATCTTCCAGGGGGGCTTGTTCTTTGTTTTCTGCTTCTGATTTTACACAGTGTGTCTGGGAACTATGAGTGATGTGCACAGTTTTCCAAATCACCAGCCCCAGACGCCAGAGATACATGGCCTATGGCTGTTCTAACAGAGTGAGCCTGAGGCAGCAGGGCCATAAACAGGGAAAAGCACATTAAACGTAAGCTGTTTTCCAAGGTCTGTTAGAAATCTGAACAGAAAGAGATGATGTTATAGCTCATATCTTTCTGTGAAAACAACAACATTTCAAATTGTGGCACAGAGTCAGGGCTGTTTTTTGAACTTGCTTTCAGATGGCCTGGTGGACTTTTTTTAAGGTGAAGTACAGGGTCATACTTCCCCAAGTAGGCTGAGTCCTTGCTGAGTGGCTGGTGAAAGAGCCATGTTCTCAATTTGAGGTTCCGGGGGCTAGGATGTCTGGGAGGGTGAAGCAGAGAGGCCTGGAAACTCAAGGCAGTGCCCTGGCATTGAGTATTTGGAGGGAGCCCAGTTACCCCAGTTCTGCCCTTTGTGTAGGCAGAAAGAGCCATTTTCAACCATCAGCTCAGAGCCACTGTTTCTTTTCCAATAGTAGAAACAGCCCCCTGCTAGTCAGAGCAACAGGCCTAAAGTATAGAGGCTGCAAACTGAAATGTCAATTGTGACATGTGTTAAATAGGATACCTCAATCTCCTCACTTGCAAAATGGTGTTTAACCTAATTATTTAATGAAAGTAATGGGAGGAGTTGGCATTCAGGCATTTCGCAAAGCAGTTTTCTATAGACGTGTGACTTTTTCTATTAACATTTTTAAAAGTCACACGAATGCACTCTTTTCAGTTGATGTTCAAAAGCCTTCAGCTAACTATTTACGCGATTTTTTAAAGCTGCTTTTAAGTATAGTAGAACTCCATTATAATACAAGAATAATCTCTTCTCTTCAACCTCTTTCCTTCAGCCCAGCTGGTGTGGTGCAGTGGTTGATTGTAGACCCATGAACCAAGAGGTCACAGTTTGATTCCTGGTCAGGGCACATGCCCGAGTTGTGGGCTCTATCCCCAGTAAGGGGGAGGGGGGTGCAGGAGACAGCTGGTCAATGATGTTTCTCTCTCATTGATGTTTCTATCTCTCTCCCTTCTTCTCTCTCTAAAAATCAATAAAAACATTTTTTAAATAAAAAACAATTAATATCTTCCCTTCATATTAAAGAGGAAAAACTCAATGCAGATATGACACAGAAAGGAGAGACGAGTTTTCATCTACAGTGCTGTGGGCCCTATCTCCTACTAGCTCTAAGCAAAAATCTAAACATATATAGATACTTATCTGAAAGAACCAGACAGGCCTGAACAAAGGTCAGATAATTATTTCAAGCCATTAAAATAAAGCAAACTGTGTAACCCACCTCAAAAGGAGACTTTAGGAAATGTAAAAGTCAAGTCATTGCTCACATGATTCAAAGGATATAAACAAACAGAATTTCCACTGAGTTATTTTTGAGAAACTCAGAAAGTATGAGCTTGGCTTTGATGCTTTGAAATCAGGCAAAGATTTGTTTATTCTGCTTAAATGTCAGAGTAATATGGAATATTCTTAAATTATTTGCTAAACTCAAGAAATACCTAAGTCATTTAAGGGATAACAGTACTATAGGCAAGTGAAAGGGCCTTTGGGCATAAGAAGCTACTATGAATTATCAATATGTATTTGGACCTGGTTAAAAAAAAAAGAAAAAAAAACCAAAAACTTAAAAAACAGAAAACACCTACAGCCTGACTTTTCTCTTGTAGAGGACAGAGCTGATCATTCAGAATGGATTGTTTTCTAGGTGACAAGCCAACATATACTTGGGTATGACTTCAACAAGAAATACCTCTCAGCCTTGATTCTAAAATGAAAGATAAGATGTTAAGAGATTCCTTAGGTAAAACCACTGAAGACTAATGTGCCCATTACCAAGTGCACTACTGTGAAGCAATAACTGTGGTAGTTTTTATCCCTGTGACGGTCCATTAATAAAAAAAGAGAAACTGAAGTTCAATTCCAAATAGTCCACAGAGAACAAATGTTGGAGGTAGAATGAATTATGCTCCACAAGATCCAACAGGCACCGAACAGGGAACAATTTCCTGTTGAAGTTAGAATGTGTCCCCAACTGCACCAATTTCCGCTAAAGGTGATAATTGGCTCTGCTATCCTATACCATGAACACTAAGTAAATTAATCCATCTTATGAAGTGGCTGTTCATTTTACAACGGAAAAGTCAATTTGTGAAAGCAGCAAAAAGACATAAAAGTAACTATTCAAAGAAAATGAATGGGAAAGGAGCCTTGGCTGACGAGGGTCCCAGCTGGTCTTTTGGTTGGTTGGTTTCCTACTCCAGGCCCTGGTGCAGAGTCCCCACCACGACGTCGCCTGTGATTACAGAACAGATAGCTGACCACTCACGAATCTCATCCCGCAGAACAGCTCACAACTATCAGTATAAATACGCCACATGCGAACAGCCTGTTCGAAAAGTTAAAAAGATAATAATAATAACTAAAATAATAAAAAATAAAAGTAATGGCCACTGCCACTAGTTACACAAAAAGAGCCCAAGACCTGCAGAAGGCCGCATCAGTGAAGGTTCACCTCAGGCAGGTGCCCTAAAGTCACCTTACCTATGTATATATCGAAAGGTAATCACATATCCAGTGATTCCAATCGCCTTTTTCTTTAACCCTAAGAAGAAAGGAATAAATTTCTGTCTTTTTTTAGTTGTACCCACACACACACACAAATCGCATTTAAAATGCACCCTGCTTTTCTCCCATTCCTCAACAGGTTGCTTTTCATAGCCAGGATCAATTATTAATTTTGCCACCTAATTTTACTAGCACCCCCTGTCCCTGCCAAGAGAAGGAACAAAGTCTTCTATTCTCTTTACACTACAGCTCAACCACCGCGTACCAAAACATAACATTCATAAAGAGCGGGCACATCTTACCGGCGACTTAGATACCTACTGTTTTTCTTGTACAGAAGAACTTCAAAGCAGTTTGACTCGTAGTTGTCAAAAGTCTGCCTGACTTTCTCGATGGTCTTCTTGTCAGTCAATTCCCCGTACATAAAACTGGGGGGGAAACAAGCCATTTCAGTTTTGTGTTGCTTTTCGAATGCTACATAAAATCATACAGTTGTCTTTGTTGATTAAGTAATCAAATTTAATTACAAATATAATGTTGCTCTTGAAATATGAACTAAAATATTTAAACCATGTTTTGATCAGATTGTTAAACTTCTTGCTAAAAGCTAGCTTTATTTCAGACTCCCAAAGAGAGAGCGAGAAGCAGCCCTCGCGTTGGACAGTTCATACATGTACAGATTTCAGTTACTCTGGTGTAGTTAAATGCCACGTTTCCCAGCAGCACCACTCATATTTCAGTTACCAGAGAATATTAGCTGTGAAGAATTGCATAAAGTTTAAACTGTGCTGTTGGCTCCTCGGTCTACAAATCTCAAGTAAATAACAGATAACACATCACGATCAGTGACGCGTCACCTCACTTCTCCAAAGCCTGTGGGCATTGGTCACTGTGCATCTGTCATTCGGTTCACACACAGAAGCAAAGCATGTAGCTGTGTTGCCTCCTTGTTTCTCAATGGCAAACCCATGAGACATTTTACAAAAATGGAAATCAGGAGCAGGAATTAGCCATCAAAGATTAAAGTCCATCAAAAAAAAAAAAATCATAATGCTGAAAGTGAATTTGAATCGAACATAATTGAGGTTCTAGAAGAAATAGATGAATGTGGGAATGTTGACATTACTGCCACTGAGAGACTCTAGACATGCAGCCAGAGGAACGGAGTGCAAGAGAATTTATCAACATAAATCAAAACAGTGAGGGAGGTGAAAGGATCAAGGGTTCCTAGAGAAAGTTACACAAATTTTAAAAAAACACACAACAAACCACAAAAACCACTAGAAGACAGTTCACAATAGTGACCACGGGAGAACAAAAGAGTTAAAGTTGATTCAGACTTAGAAAGGGGTATTAACATTTGCAAAGAAATAGGAAAAAATGCTCTCTCATAAGGTAGATGACAAGAAAGCAAGAAATGTTCAAATGACCCGTGACAGTCTTTTACAAAGAACTGAAACACTTTAATTTTTAACATTTCTAATGTTCTGAACTATAGTATACTAAATATTAGTTTTACAATTACTTCCATTTCCATGTGCTTAAAACCAACAGTAAGAGAGTTTTCAATGTTTTGACATTGTTAAGGGTCACAGAACAATCGTAATTTCTTCCACTGAGCGTTAAGGTGGTATCACATGGCTGCAGCTTGCATGGTCCTTTTTATACTCCTCTATACAATGAAACACGAAGACTTCATATTACACATATAATGTACTGGCGTTTTCATCATTTATGAGGATTTTTTAAAGATACATACAAGTATGGTTAATCGGTGGAGAATTGAAGGAGACATACACTATTACTATGGCTAAAGGAACATATAAAACAGATCCAAGAGTGCACTTCTACATCCCACAAAATTTTCCTAATATTTGAAATGATCTATTTTCCTAAAAGAAATTCACCAAAAGTTTGATAATCTACAAAACTGAACTCAGTCAAGGATTACAAGCCTCTAAAACTCTATTCCCAATGTTTTCACAATCAATTGTTCAGCCGGTTTTAGAAGCACAGTTCTCCTGGTTAGTATAATTGTCTAGATCATTTCTTCCCAGGAAGGAATCGGTGGGCTACTACTAGATACCTTGAATAAATTTTTGAAGACGCAAGTCTATCTTTATGATTCCTTTTGTTCCAGTTTTCAAAGAGTTAGCCTGTTGGCCAGAGGCAAATCCAAGTGTGGTGGGTGAAGCTTATACAATTTTAGGAGCCCTCTTTAAGGAACGGAATACAAAATTATGAAAAAAACTCAGACACAGAGCCTTGAAAGACACCCACTCAAGTAAGGGGTCCCCGAAGGTTAAGATTCACTATCCTCATGGAAAAACTGCCCCAGAACATATCAATCTGGGAAATTTATAACTCGAAAAGCAGTTTGTTATCAAGATCCATCAAAGAGTAGCAGGATTCAACAGAGATGCCGTATCATTAGAAATTAGAGTAACTCAGGCCAATCTTAGGGTAACACTAACCTATGCAACTAGAATTCTAGAAACTAAGAAATGAAAGGAAGTGAATGAGGCAGACCAAAGATTGTCCTAGCAATCTGCCTCCTGCATTTTCAAATACAATATTTCTATCTTTTATTTAAAAAGATAGTTTAAATGTTATCATAGTAAGACAAATGAGAATCTCAAAATAAAATAACAGACTCTGACTCCTTAATCTCGCAGCTGAACTAGCACATGAAGTTCCAGTGCCTGCCTGTAAGATGGCATTAAAAAGCCACTGTTCCTGTGTAAAGCCTGGAGTCCAGCTCACGTGAGTCTCATGAAAATCTCTTGAAAGCATTATAATTAAATTTTTAAAAGCACAGCTCTGGATGGTTTTACTCAGTGGTTAGAGCGTCAGCCCTTGGACCGAAGGGTCTAGGGTTTGATTCCCAGTCAAGGTCACATATCTTGGTTATAGGCTGGATCCCTGGCCGTGGTCAGGGCATGTGAAGGAGGCAACCAATCGATGTGTCTCTCTCACATCAATGTTCCTCTCTCCTTCTTTCTCTCTCCCTCCTTCTCCCCCCCTCCACTCTCTCTAAAAAAAAAAAAAAAAAAAA